GCCTCTAACAGCTATTTGATACTGCGACCACGCCTCTCTCATGGCTTCAAAGGAGACCATAAGCCCATCTTTACTCCATTTACGCTCCAGTCTTCTGCAGTTTTGCCTGATTGAACGAGTGCGCTCGTTCAGCCAAGGGTCAGGCCTAATCTTGGTCAGTCTGGATTTTAATGGAGCTACAGAATCCATCGCAGCTAGACAGGATGAATTAAGAAGATGCAAATAACTCTCAACATCAGTAAAATCGCAGGGGGCTGATATCAGAAAAAAAGCATTTACAAAATCTCCAGCAGTAGAGGGAGTAATAACTCGAGAGAGACGAGTGTGGACATGATCAGTACGAGAAGTGGAAGCCACGTCCAGGTTAAACAGAACTGGTGAATGATCAGAGAAAGTAGCAGGGAGAATAACCAAGTCACTGCTACTCAGCCCATGAGACAGAACCAGGTCCAGTGTGTGAACATGGCCACGCGTGGGCCCATTCACGAGTTGGGACAGGCCAAACGAATCGACAAGATCCAAAAAGTCCTTCACCATATTTGTCGGGACAACAGACATGAATATTAAAATCCCCCAGCAGGAGGAGACGGTCATATTTACAGAAGATTTGAGCTAGAAACGCCGCAAATTCATCTAAAAAGTCCTTATTATATTTTGGAGGACGGTAATTAAGTGCGCACAGCATGGGAGGCGATTGACCCAGCTCAAAGGCGCTTAGCTCAAAAGTTAGTGGAGTTGAAGAGGGGACTGTAAGGTTACAGATAAGACCAGATTTAAATAAAGTCAACAGACCGCCGCCACGGCGCTGCACTCTTGGAGTGTTAATGTAGGAGCAGCCAGGTGGAAGGACCTCCGCGAGTGTGGAGGACTCACCCGGGTGGATCCAAGATTCAGTGGCGCATAAAACGTCCAAGCTGTTGTAGTTGAAGAAATCTTTCAGGATAAAAGTTTTATTCCCAATGGATCTAGTGTTGATCAGCGCGAAGCGAGTCAGCAGCAGAACCGGCGGTGGGGAAGCACCCGCCCCAGCGAACCTCATCACATGCCGCAGATTGCCGGGGTTTACTCCGTGCTGGCGCCGATGGCAAAACGAGGAGCGGGGAGGCGATCCGAAGAAGGTCACAGGGACAACAGGAACCAGGCACCTCTTTCTAGCATCCGCTGAACCCAGAAAGCGCCGGTCAACTCCCCAAGCGCAGAACTTGGACCTGACCAGGCGACCTCCACGTTTCCCACGCCGGCGATGCCTCTTCCGTATTCGTGGAGGACGAGGTAAGCGACACAGACAGGCTGGTATGTCAGTCAGAAATGAGTGGGTTGACCCACTTTGTTCCAGAGCAAACAGACGATCACAGTTGATCGGATTTGTAAAAGAGTAAGTCTGTCATACACCAGGAGTGAGTTTATGTTAAAACATAAACAGAGCAGAATCATAAAAAAAAAATCATAATAACAAGAGGAGACGGACGGCGTGCCTGACATGCTGGCGCCATCTTGTCTTATAGGTTACGCTTTTTGAAACCTATACTGTTGTTTTGGAGATAAACCGTAGGTCACGCAGCATAGACATCTTTTTGTTTGCCACAGTTATGGTTTGTGAATCTACTCAACCTGCTCTACCTCCTGAGCTACTGCTGCCCCTTACATGAGAATCCAGGGTGAGGGCTGGGCCAAAGGTCACACCGAGATTCCTAACAGAGGGTTTGGTGTGAGATGAAAGCTGACCAAGAGAGTCTCTGACTTTGGGAACCAGCTTGTCTGGGGCACAGATGAGGATCTCAGTCTTATCTTCATTCAGCTGAAGAAAGCTCCCAGCCATCCAGGTTTTGATAGAGTCTAAGCAGGTGTGTAACAGCTGCAGCTTAGACATCTCATGGGGCTTAAAGGAGATGTACAGTTAGAGGAAGCAGGTATCATCCACCTCCAGTTCTCATTGTTAATGAAATTCATCCTAATGTCATGTAAATCTTCTCACCCAGCTTTATCCTTCAAGAAATTAGACCTTTTCCAGTTGCTCAAGTTCACATTTTGTAAAATTTCCCAGTGAGATCAATAGGTTTAGGTTATCTTACGCTAATCAGCCCTCGAATAAAAACAAAAGTTCCTAACAGTTATTTACGAGACAATCAACAGCTGGTTTAAAATTAAGACATATCTGATAAAAAAAATTCTGCGTGCTTCCAAGGCAAATTATGGTCAAATCTCCAGAACAAGTGGAGTTCCTCATGGTTCAATTCTTGGACCTATCTTGCTTTTGTTTTATATTCAGGTGTTTTGTTTTTACTGCATTTTTGATGATGATGTTCAGTTCTAGTACCCATTGATTCAAAGTGAGCTCCATAAATTGCCCTCTCTATTTAACTAGAAACATTTAAAGTTGTTGAGCAACACCTTTAAAGTTAATAAATTATAATAGATTAAACTGAAACTTTAATTGTTGCACCAGATAGTGCTATTGCTGCTATTAAACAGCAAGTGGAAGAATTGGGACTCTCCCAAAAGCCAGTCTGGTGCTGTGTAGTGAAGCTTGTCCCTGGAGCATCATCAACGACTGTTATTGCTTTTCTATCTGAGGAATATCTCAAACTCGGAACAATGGTGTGAACTGTGATGATAATTAATACTTGTGTCTCCAAGCAATCATGATGTGCCAGGTATCCCAGAATTCTCCTGGAAAACTTACATCTGTTTAAAAGTCCTAACACTGGCAACCAATCTGTTTTATTGTCCTTTTTAAATTATTGGTTCCAACTTTTTAGAGCTTTGCAAAGAGAAACTTTGACTGATGTTGCTTCTTGCATTTCAAGGTCATCTAATCAGAACTTTTTATTTGTTTTCCAGACTTACTTTGTGACAGAAATAAACTTCATTCAGGCCTACTCACTTCTCAGCTGGGACATTTCACACTGAGATGTACTACTTCCAAGTTTCTAAAAATTAATCTGAGGCTGATCATTTAGACCATCACTTCAAACAAAAGTGATAGAAGTTCACTTTTATTTTTAAAAGTGCTCAGAAAAATGCATCTCAATGCCAAATTAAAATGTGAGCACTGACCTGATGAAGCATCTTCAAGAAAATCCTAACTGTGAGTATCTGATGTGATGAGTGTTGGCCATTTTACCAAAAAGATGTCCATTCCTAGTTTATTTCTAGACTCTTTTAGATTTTTTTGAGTGACCGCAGCAGCTCAAGTGCTTGAGCGGGTTATCAAGCAAAAAGGTTGCAGGTTCAATCCCGGGTCCAACTGGAGAATGCTGCTGTTGTGTCCTTGGGCAAGACACTTAACCCGCTTGCCTTGCAGTTTGTATTAATCAGTTTCAGAGAGACTGGTGGTGCTGTGGCTACATCGTAGCTCATCTCCACCAGCGTGTGTGTGCGTATGGATGAATGACTGATTGCATTGTGAAGCGACTTGGGGGGTTAGAAACATAAAAAGGTGCTATACAAATACAGGCCATTTACCATTTTTTCCCCCAAATGAAAAAGTAAAACTATTTCCCGCTGTCCTTGGTACTGAAATGTTGTTAATTTTATTGTTGCAAAAAAAAAAAAAACCATATGAGGGTCAACTAAATAACCCACACACACTGCTGTGTACAAAATTGGAATAAAACAAATTACTGAAAAAACAATCAACTATTTTCAACATTTAATAATTTCATAAATACAACTGTAAAAACAAAACAACACTTTGTATATTTATCTGGCTAATGAACTCAAAAATAAATACACAACAAAAACATTGCAGGCCTAGTGCAATGATTTCAGGTTCTGCTGGTAATTCCTGTAATGATAGCACGTGACCAGTAGAGGTCAGGCTTGCATCACAGAAGTAAATAGTCTGAAACTGATTTCTTTAGATGAAGACCAGTGAAAGAGATGCTGAAAGAAAGTAAAGTTCAAAATAAATTAGGACGAGATCCAATATGTTTAAAAACCTCAAGAAGCAACTTTTTTTTTTTTTTATAACTCATAAAACACAGAATATTACAAGTCAGACTTTAGTTTTAAATGCTTGAAAGTGCTGTACTTTTCTGGCTTGGCAAGCCAGACTAAATAAATGTATTATTCAAACTTTGCAAAGCAAGAATTTGGTCTATTCACTAGGCTAGTACTTTCTATAAATTATGCATACAAGTTCCTAATATTTGATGAATCATGCAAAGATTTTTCAGAAAATGTCATGATTTTCATCAGTTTGTAATATGATTTTTCTCTAAATTAAACCTTTTTTATAGTTGGTCCTTTTCCATGTCAAACATTCCTATTGTTGACCATATGCTGAATGGTCCAAGCAAAATCCACAATTATCCAAAACCCTATTTGAACTATTTGACCACCATAAAGTTTCCCCAGTTAATTTTTGTTTTAATGCCCATTGAGTCTCTATAAAGTTATATTTTTGCATCATATGTGCATAAGTTGATGATTTGCCACGACAATGATTTCTGGAAGACTCTGTGAGCTTAGGCCTCTTGAGGAATAAAAATATCACAGGCAAGTAACATTAATCCAGATTGCTGCACATTTGATGATATTGATTAAAGGAAATGTAAGATATGTTCTATTAAACATCAGAGCCAGTTTAACTGTTCTAAAATGGGCAGACAGTTGCGTAATGAATGCTAAACTCTGGTTTGAGAGGAAGCTTTTCATTTCCACATTTTGCATCATATTTGCTTAGGAGGGCAGATTGTGATGAGGAGAATATTCAGTTCAGTTTGCTGGTTTCAATAGAACAACTTAGATATTTGGTATATGATTCATTTGGATTATGATTAATCTGATTGATGATTAACTCAAATGTGTTTAATTAAAATCCAACCATGGTAATTATCTGTCACTATCTAACTCACTTTGACAAAAGTTCAGTTATCAGTCCAGGCTTAGAGACAGGTTACTGTCAATGAATAGAAAACCTTGCGTCACGTGACTGGTCAGCCGGGTAATAGAGTGGCGCAGCTGTTCCAAACTGAGCACGTGTTTGCTTCAGGGCAGAAACAGATCGAGGCAAACTACATCCTTTATTTATTTGCTTGTTTGATTTCATTTAAACATTTTTGAGAAGACCAAACGTGCGTCACGCTGGTGCACGACTCACTTTCCTCAGTTTACGTTGGGCTCAATTTAAAAACAACAAACTGGAACTGATGGCATAAAGCGCGTTACTCGTCTCGTGCGTAAAAACACCAAGAGACCGAACCGCAAGTTGGAGAAAAGGAAAAGGAGAGGGTGGAGGAGCCCCCCTCCCCCCCAAACACCAAGGTCCTGATAGACACCCCCCTCCTCATAACCCAACTCCTCTCCAGACCTGCGCAGATGGCCCTAGTGTCCAAACCGGAGTCTGGATCTGCATGAGTTCAGAGTTAGAAGATTAGCGCTGATTAGGAGTTTAACTCTTTCTCCGGCGTCTGAAAAGTAAAACTAGTCCTGGGGTCATGTTGACGCACGCGGGTCTGTGAGCACACGCGCCACGCTTCTGCTGGTGATGCCATGCCGCGCAGTCACACTGGCGACGAGAGCGGCAGCACCGGGCTCTGGGTGAGGACTTCCACCGGCAGCCGGTCTCAGGACTACGCACTCAAAGATGTGGAGTGTGGACGCAGAACGATGAATAACGCGGCGCGGGTCGGGGACGGTCTTCTGTCCTCCGCCGCTGCAGGTGCGGAGCGGCACCAGGGCGCCAGGCTCAGCCTGCTGGGGAAGCCGCTGACCTACAGCTCTCAGAGCGGCCGCAGGAACGCTCGGTACCGGAAGCTCCAGAATTATCTCTACAACGTGCTGGAGAGACCGAGGGAGTGGGCTTTTGTTTACCACGCGTTTGTGTGAGTACAAACTTTCTGCTTTTAAAACTAAAATTCGAAGTTTTAAAAACAATGTTTTCAAAAAGCTTTAATATTATTGGGTCATGGGGCACAAATCAGTGTCGCATTCTCTCACACAAACATCCAAACACAAAATTATCTTATTCCCAGTTTAACATGTCAGTTAGAGAAACAAATTCAACTGCAAATAGTGAAAATATGCCCACATCTACCATGCAAGTTAATGGTTAATGGGAAGCAATGTAAATTAGTCACCTCTTCACTAATCTGCAGAATTACTTTAGAAGAGCCAATAAAAGGTGACTAATATTAAGCAGCTGCTTCCTCCTTGCAAGATATTAAGTGATTCATCTTGTTTTCAGAGTCTGGCTTTGGGAGGAAACTTATAAGGTCCTTAGATTCAAACCAGCTGCACCCACTGACCACTTCTCATGTGAGAACGTTTTGTTTATTTGTTCTGGGGAGAAATGATCTTCAGAATAATAATGCCATCAGTTGGTTTGAGCTGTCTTGGCTGGTGTCTGAATAAATGGATTTGCTGTTGTGTTTATTAAATGTTATTTAGGATCAAAGAGTGTAGCTCAGTGGTGCTTGTGAGTTGTTTCTGTAAGTTTTTTTTCTCTGTCATCAGAGATGATTGTCATCAAATCTGTGATGCACCTCAGAGTGGCTGGTGATATTCTAGGAGCAGTGGCGGCTCCAGAAATGTTTTACTGCAGGTGCTATGAAGGAGCAAGTCTTTTTATTGAGGGTGCTATGAAGGAAGTAGTCATGCGTACCTATTGTTCTCTAAAACACCTTCAACACTAGCAGATACACATGCGTGCAGAACACCTCAACAACACCGGAAACAATCATTAATATACATCATAAACATATGAACAATCGCTGACTTTTCCATGAAATCATAAACACATACAACCACACAGAAAACCATCTATAGTGTTGCAAGGTTAGCTAACATTAGCGGTAGCATTTCCAGCGGTAAAACCCTCGACTGCTGAAGCGGTTGAGGGTTGACTCTCTTCATCCAGATCCGTAAATTTTTGTGGGTCTGAGATCACTGCCAAACATTCATTTGTGTCTGACTGAACCCGTGGAAATGTGGGCAACACAAAAACGATCCATTTGACCACTAGCTCTACCTTTCACTGTTCACAGGTGGAAAATGAGGTCAAAGGTTAACATCAATTTCCTGTTTTGGTTTAGATTTTTACTATCTATATGATAATTTACTGATTATTTTTGTTTTGTATGGTAAATATTATCACATCCACACATTAACTAAAAATTAAATTGTAAAAAAATAAATCTAATATTTACTTGGGGGTGCTATGGGGGTGCAATGACTAATCCAGGGGTAGCTATAGCGCCCCCTAGCACCCCCCTGGCGCCGCCACTGTCTAGGAGAGATCTTTTATTTACATGAAGCTATGGGAGATTATCACCCAGATAGCTGCAAACATCTAGCTGAATGAACACTTTTCCAACAATAAAAATCATTCATTCAACTTACACTGCAAATTCAGTGACCAGCGTTCCCATTGTTGGCAGCATTGCATCCCTTCCCACTCTGAAGCATTCCTGTTAGTAGAGGAGCCCTGTGAGAAGGAAGTGGAGCTGTCAGAGAAGAGGCTGCAAAAGCCGGATGCGGACGTTTTATTTGCTCCTGCAGGACAGCCGGGGTCGCCGGGGTTAAGTAGTTACATCTGCTCTGGGCTGCAGCCTCCCACACTGTGTAGTTTGGATCAGCTGCACACATTAAACAAATCAAACCATTGGTTTAAGTGGGATGAAGAGAGATTAAGAAAATAGTCTCACGTTTCAGGCTAGTTCAAACGGAAAGTGCGGATGAAGACAAATAGATTTTTAGGAGGAAGATCTGACAGCAAAGTGACTTAACTGTGAATATTTTCTATTAAAAATCAAATGAATGGGTGCAAAGCAGCCATGTTTAATGTATTAAATACTTATTTGAAACATAAGAGCATCTTGTTTGCCTGCAGCCATCTGGGTCGTGAATTTATCTTGGTTATTTGAACATAATGGAGGATATTCATGTGAATGTAAACAAAATTTTGTAAAGAAAAAGGTTACACTCATTCTGCGTATAACTACTAGTGATTTATCAGTCTTTTGTGGACTGTGCATGTAACGTGTGTACAAGCTTGACGTGTCCTCTTCTACCCAAAACACCTTGAGCATGCTGGATTTACGCTTAGCTGACACACTTTTGTGCAGAAATGTAATATTTTTTTTAATGTCAAATCAAACTGACATTACAATATAAGTGCTCACTCACTAACCTCTAGAAATCTCACCAAAATGAAAAGAATAGAAATTTATCAATCTTAAGAAAAAAATCTGCATCTTCATTTATGGGGATGTTGTGCTGGTCTGTGAGAAGAAAGAGCCGAGCTGAAAAGCAAAGCTCTTAATTTATTGGTCTGTGTGTCACGAGAATCCTATAAAAATTAGATTCTAGATCCAAGCAGCTGATTTTCCCCTGTTGGGTGGCCGGATTCAGCTTGAGAGAAGTGGTGAGGAGCTTCATCTTCGAAGTAGAGCAGCTGTTCCTCCTCATTTTCAGCCGAGGTGGCAGAGCCAGACCCAGAAGTCTCTGAAGGGATTATTTATCCCCGCTGGTCTTGGGAATGCTTTGGGATCTCAGGAGGGGATGAAAAGTCTTACTGGACCTGAGACTTTCCTGACCCCTTTTTAGGATAAGCAAAGGAAAAGGGATTGATGGAAAAATTAAACTGCAAACTTCTGAGGTGTTGATTGTTAAAATCAGCATAGTAAACATTCACATAAAAGGTGTAAAGTGCTTTGGAGTCCTATAGAGCGCTTTATGAGTAAAGGCCGTTTAGCCAATTTTGTGACACCTGTGAGACCGAGAGCTGTGCAATGTAAGAAAAACCTGCCATCAGACGAGATTCCAGGTTTCCTTAAAACCTTTAAGCCAGGAGTTCTCAATCCTGGTCTTGGAGGGCCGGTATCCAGCATGTTTTAGTTATTTCCCTTCTTCAACACACTTGTTTCAATAGTTGAATCACCTGTTCAATAACTCATCAGGCTCTGCAGAGGCCACCTAATCACCTGCTGGTTAAAACCATGTGTGTTGATGCAGAGAAACAACTAAAACATGCTGGGTACCGGCTCTCCAGGACCAGGAATGAGAACCCCCTGCTTTAAGCAACTCGTATTCAAACACACATAAGTTATCTTAACAGATTCAACAGGACATATATTATCAGTGTCATATAAAAGCTATTAGTCAATAGAGCTCCGGGAGTTGACGTCACTTCTCCCGGCATGCAACAGTTCGAATCGAAACGGCGCCATATTGGCAGGTAGAAGCCGGCAGCTGGACTATTTACTATTGTCAGAAAACTCAATCAAATGGGAAATATGGTAGATTCCTGTTGTCCCCCAGGATGCAGAACAGACGCAGACGACATAAGGAATGAGCCATCTACAGGATTCCCCAAGACCCGGAGCGCCGCAAACGTTGGATCATTGTAATAAAACGCGCTAGTGACCGGGCTAAAATGAAACTGTGGGATCCCGAGAGTAAAGGTTTTCGCTTATGCAGCGACCGCTTCATATCAGGTACTTAAACCAACGTTTCCTCCACTGTGTATGGTATTTATTTTAAATGCTTTTATTACGATTCTTAGTGGGCTTCCTAAACTTATTTTGGCGTGGCTTTTTCTGTCTTATTACTCATAGCAACAAGTAAACATCACGTAAAACGTTGCCTCGTGAGTTCTGCGTGCTGCCGTTTACGTGTTTTATGATCACAGCAATTAACCGGCTAAGCTGTATTTAATTTTTAAGCAATGGTTGATCAATTGTCAGATCACACATAAAAAGCACTTTGGATTGCTATTATCTGTCTCACCGAGACAGATTTCAGACAGATCCTGAGAAGCTCCTGCCTGACATTTATTTTATTCGCGGAAAAAAATCAGACTAGTGATTTCAATTGGCGTTCAGTTTATACATTCAAACAGCACAGCACTCTATTTAAACTACTTACATGTACATCTATGTTATTTGCCCGTCCGTCCATCCATCCATCCATCCATCCATCCATCCATCCATCCATCCATCCATCCATCCATCCATCCATCCATCCATTTAAACTACTTACATGTAAATCAATGTTATTTGTCCATCTGTCCATCCATCCATCCATCCATCCATCCATCCATCCATTTAAACTACTTACATGTAAATCAATGTTATTTGCCCGTCCGTCCATCCATCCATCCATCCATCCATCCATCCATCCATTTAAACTACTTACATGTAAATCAATGTTATTTGTCCATCCATCCATCCATCCATCCATCCATCCATCCATCCATCCATCCATCCATCCATCCATCCATCCATCCATCCATCCATCCATCCATCCATCCATCCATCCATCCATCCATCCATCCATCCATCCATCCATCCATCCATCCATCCATCCATCCATCCATCCATCCATCCATCCATCCATCCATCCATCCATCCATCCATCCATCCATCCAAACTACTTACATGTAAATCAATGTTATTTGTCTGTCCGTCCGTCCGTCCGTCCATCCATCCATCCATCCATCCATCCATCCATCCAAACTACTTACATGTAAATCAATGTTATTTGTCTGTCCATCCGTCCGTCCGTCCGTCCATCCATCCATCCATCCATCCATCCATCCATCCATTTAAACTACTTACATGTAAATCAATGTTATTTGTCTGTCCGTCCGTCCGCCCGCCCGCCCGTCCGTCCGTCCGTCCGTCCGTCCATCCATCCATTTAAACTACTTACATGTAAATCAATGTTATTTGTCCATCCATCCATCTATCCATCCATCTTCATCCACTTATCCGGAGTCGGGTTACGGGGGCAGCAGCCTAAGTCGAGAGGCCCAGACTTCCCTCTCCCCAGCCACTTGGGCCAGCTCCTCCGGGGGAATCCCAAGGCGTTCCCCGGCCAGGTC